ATATATATATATATATATATATATATATATATATATATATATATATATATATATTCATTCATATTCAAAAGTATGCGGTGCTGATTTACATAGCAGAAATATACTTACCTATTCAAACTCAAGCGTCTGACGCTGATACGCTTTCGCATAGACGCCTAATAAATAAACGGGAAGAGCGTGAAAACGCAGCGGCTCCGGTTCGCAGAGGCTCCCGCTGGTTTGTTTGAACTGAAGTCTCGTGGTGCCCCGGTATGTGTGTGTCTCCCGGTCGGAGACACTCCCCCTTGGCGCTGCTCTGGATCTTTCTCTCCTCCTCTTGCGAATCCTACTATGGCCAAGAGCTTTCAGTCTTGTAACTTCATCGCTGTTGTTGATAGAACCGGTTTTGTTGCTCACAGAAAAGTAAACCAAATAATTTGCGCCATTCGCGACGTATTATATAATATTATATTCGATAATAATCGATATTAATTTCACCAAATCAATGTCACCATGTTGTTTGCTACTTTTGTACACATTTAAAAATACACCTCAAACGCCGGCTGAAGCACTCAAACACTAATGTTTCCTCAGAAGAACCACCGTCTCCCTTTTAACCAATCAGTTAGGCGTCTACTGGATAAACGTCACGTACGTAATTAATATTCATGAGACACGCCTTTCCCGTAGTAGGATTTGTTAATTTCCTAGTATTTGAGAGTATATGACTCTCCTAGTCAGAGAGGATGTCTTAATATTTTATATATCTGCCATCTATATCAATATCTGTGCTGTCTAACCAAATATGGCATTTTTGTCTGACCTTGACCTGCATGCAATTAGCAGTAGCTTTTTAAAACTCAATCATACATAAAGATATACTAAACGCATATCAGTCTTGACCTGTCTGGTGGTTATGAAAATATGAATATCAACCTTTTTAGTTTACAAATGAGTTCCGAAATGCAAAAGCAAAAAACGAATCAATAAAAATTCATTAGAAATTGCTTGCGAAATCTTGGTGCACACTGCCCCTTTGTGGGGAGACAGCTGCATTATATTTTAGGATATATTAATATGACCATAAGAGGGCGACAAAGCATTCACAATGCCGTTAGGTTACATTTGGGTTATTTCCCCTAATTTTCCATTAAATTAGTTTGAACTAATATAATAATTATTATAAGCAACAGATGCTTCAAATGAAACCCAAAAGGTCAGCACAGCACACACACAGCATGAGATTTGAATGATTTATTAATAAAGTGAGGTCTTAACAATAATTCCCAGTCTCTTCTACACATCTTCTGGGGTTGATTTCACACTGCTGAATTGTTCATTCTTTTGTAAAGTGGCCATTTATCATAATGGGAAGCATACTATCACTAGCCTTCCAGAACAGTCCTGTACATGTTAGACCGTCACCTTCCCCAGCATATTGTCTCCTTCTACTGTAAATATGAACTTTAAAAAACTAACATTTGTACATAATTTACACATCTGTATTCATAAAGCTTACAAATCATGCCAGCAGCAGTCTTGAGTCACTCTCTCCATCTGAGGGGCAAAGTAGCTACTTATATGTGTGTGAAGCCATCGAGGGTGGGTGTACTAGTTGATTTTACATGTCAAATATTCGTTGTCTTCTTTTCTAATGGTAACAGTTGCTCAAACAGTCACATGCCTTTGTTTTAGTAATCAAATGAGACTATAAAATGTGATTAACACACACACACACACACACACACACACACACACACAAAGATCAACGATAGCCTGTGGTTATCTCACAAATCATAAATTGCTGTGCTAGCATAATACGGATTAGATCATGCATTTGTGTGTAATTAGGTAATGCATGAAGGTATGTTTATGTATGCTCAATGCAAGAGTGAATGTGTTTCCCTGTCCATATGTGGATATTAGAAATACAAGCATGAATAAGTGCTCATATACCAAAGCAGCTTTAGAATGATCAGTCCGTCCCTCCCTCCCAAACTGGAATATATGCAAAACTACACAGAATACTGTAAAATGACAGTTAATACTATCTGTATTTCTGTGACTGTATGGCACATTTAAATGTTTGTGTGATTTTTTTGTCCCTTTTTTCGCACTCCTATACAGTCCATAGACTTGCTAAAAGATCACTAAATCAGTTTACACAAAATGGGCAAATTATATTAAATAAAACTGTACCCGAACTACATATAGACACTCATTTCTTTTTTGTCTTCCTACAAGCGCATTCTGCTGATTTGTGAGGGGAAATTATCTGTTTTTTTTTTCTTTTTTGCCAGTCAACATTCACATACTTCAGGTATGTCATCTGTTTAACAAACAGCCTCTGATTTCATCCACAGTTCAACAAGAAGAGCAAAATATGTCTCTTTGTGCACAGCACAAAGGTGATATGTAATTATGTAATATGTGTGTTATAACTATGTAAAAGACCATAAGACTCTTAATCCAAATGGAATTTTTTGTTGTTCTGAATCAAAACGCATCCATTTCCATGAGTTCATGACACAACCAGCTCAAATAAAAATCTGACTTGGCAAAAATAACCCTAACATGTTTACAATTTCTCCAAATGTTCCATGCATGATAACAACCAGATTAACGACAAACCCATTGCATCATGTGAAATTAAAACACATGATATAAGCAACATCATAAGCAAACCCAGTGAAACATTATGGTACTTCAACACTTTTTTATATTAAACTACAAAAAAACTTATTATGAGATGATTATTATGAAATCTGTTTCTGTTGAGAGGGATAGGTGAGAATATCTTTTTGTATCCTGTAGAGGGGAAGTTTGGACATTTCATGTTTCTACACCCAAAGTAAAACATCTCTATACAACAAAAACATTAAAGGAAAACGTAACTTAGATTCCTTATTCTCTACAATATACAATTCAAGTGCAATTGAAGCTCCAAATACTAGTTAAACAACGTACACGTAACTCTAACTCTCGTACCGACAGGTAGTCTTTGCCTTTTATCTTGTTTTTTTTTCTCTTTCATTTGTCTGCCTTTGTCTTTTATGTTGTGGTCAGAGCAGAGAGCGATTCCTTTCTCATACAGTTTGAAAAGAAAACTTTAAGTGCACTAGGATATTGAAACCCCTTGTGCACATTAGGGGCATGAAAATAACTTTTTCAAAACAAGAATATATATCTGTTTGCGTCTGTATGTTTCCTAATATGCCATAAGTTTGCACATAATTTTTTGTACGCGCACACACACATATATACATACATCCATATACAAATATATACTGTAGATATCAAACATCCAAAGGGGGCTTTTGCAAAATCAAGCACATAAATATTAGCAAACAAAAAAAACAAAAACAAAAATGGACAAATGGACAAATCTCAGACAGGAAGAAGGCCAAACGTCTTTATCTTCTTGCAGTAGTGAGGCCTTCTGGGAGCTAGTGGAGAAAAGAGAGGAAGAGAGATGGGGATAGAGCCGGGGTCGTGGAAGAAATGTTCGGGGTTTCTATTTATACGGCCGTAGAAACCTGGACACTTTGGAGCGTAGCAGTTTGATAAAGGATCGTGGGAACATCTCCTTTGATTCCTGCGCGGTGTATTTAAAGTAGTTATGAGGGTGAGCCAGCACATCAAACAGAGCTTTAATCAGCTTCTTATCCTGAAAACACAGAAACAGAGAATTAAAAGTGGTAGATGAAGTCACCTTTGACTACAGTTACTTGCTGTAGTGAAAATATATGCTCACTTTTAATATCTCCTGGTGGTTTTCTGAGGCATAAAGTCGACCGTCTCGAACAATGTCCTCTATGAGTTGCTGGTAGTCTTCTGTAATGACAAACACATATTGCTTTCAACAACAAAAACTGATATACTGTATCTAGTAGTTATTATTTTTGTATACATCTTTTTTTTATTTATGATGTATGTATTACAATTTACAGTTTTTACATATTTTCAAATCTATTTTCTAATAATAATGTACCATATACCATTTTTGACAATATTTATGTACAAATCTGTATTTAATCAAAAATACAGTAAAAACCGTAATATTGTGAAACATTGTTACAATTTAAAATAACACTTTTCTATTTGAATATATTTTTAAATAATTAAAAATTTATTTATTTTAAAATGATTCATTACAAAAATTCATTTATTTATCCTGTGATGGTAAAGCTGAATTTTCAACATCATTACTCCAGTCTTCAGAAATCATTCTAATGTGCTGATTTGCTGCTCAATAAACAGT